TTTCGGAAGCATCCGGCCCGGCTCAGCCCTGCCCCGGTGGTCCCCGCAGTGCAGCTGGGAGCCCTCGGGAGGCCTGCGCGAGGCCGTACCTCCCCAGCCGCTGGGCCTCCTGGTAGTAAACGTAGGTGTTGTTGAGTCCGCACAGGAACGCCGTGAGAACGATCATGAGGATGAAGATGAACCTGTGAGAGAAGCCCAGAGAGGTCAGCGAGGCCGGGAGCCCCGGGGCCAGACCTGTCGGAGCCTGGGTTCCCCGCTCCCCCCCCCGCCAAGCCCCCCTCCAGCCCCCACACTGTCTCCACCAGCCCCTTGCCTCTCTCGCATTAGGTACGTGGATGCTGTGGCGCCTGCCGGTGTAACCACGTCACCGCGGCTCTGCTGGCATAACCCCATCGTAGCCCTCAGCCACAGAAGGGGGTTTTCCGTCGCCGTGGGAACGGAGCTTCCCCGAGCGACAGCAGCTACATCACGGGACACGGCCCTCCTGTGACCTAGCCGAACCTGCACCTGCGGCAGGCTGCACAAGCAGCTGGGTCCAAGGGCCGGTTTTTCACACCCCTGCTCTGATGTCGGTACGGCAACCTAAGTATAGACTGAAACACATGCATGGGTCCGATGGAGCCAAGGGATCATGCCAGGGCCACATGGATGGCAGCTGCCTGTGAATGATACGGGGTGCCGGCCCCCGCAGCTGCCCAGGACACCCTAATGGCCAGGTGGCAGGACTTGTCCCCTGCCTGACCTCAGGCGGGCAGGGGTTCCCAGAGCAAAGCAAAGGCTAAATTCTGCCAGGCCTCCTCAGTCCGATTTCAGTCCTTAGCCTCTGTCCATCCCCCTGGCGTCAAAGCAGGGCTCCTCTCTAGCTTGTGACATCAGCAAGAGCTGTCGGCACTTAACACCCTGCAAGATCAGACCTTGTGTGTGGGGGGGGAGGGGTTCCGGCCCCTTGGCCCAGACCCACCATCAAGCTCCGTTTAGGGACAGTCTGATGGGGCCATGATGGGGAGGTGACCTCGGGGGGGCAGAAGGGAATCAGCCCCTACCGGATCATGTCGTCGATCATCTTCCCGATGGAGATCTGCAGGGTGCCCAGGGACTCGTGGGCGGGGAGGATGTAGGCCAGGCGGGTGAAACTCAGCATGCTGGTCACCGCAAACAGCACCTCGGCAACAAACTGGGGGTCTTCGGGGTGCCACTCATGCCGTGCTGCACACGGGGAGAGAAAACTCAGAGACACGGAGCCGGAAGGAGAGGGAGTCTGTGTCATGCGGCCTAGCGGGTAGAGCGCTGGGACTGAGGGACTGGGACCCAAGTCCCTTTCCCTCCCCTGTGCCTCGGTTTCCCCATCTGTAAAATGAGGATAATGCCACTGATTTGCCATGAAAGGCCCTATAAAAGCACCTCCAATTGCCATTCCAGAGTAGGAGCCACGCTCCAGAGCCCGGGTCGGGCTCTTCCAACCCCTTCCTCCATCCGTGCTTCTCCAGGAGGAAGCAATCCCAGCCGCCAAGGCATCCCCAGCCTAGCCCGGCTCACTCTCACCCATTTGCCCCCTGAAGAACGGCCTGATGCTGACCCCTGCTGGCAGCAGGGGAGAATTTCCTGCCTCATTCGCACACAGGCATCTTCACCGTCTTAGAGTTCATGGCGTTTTCTTGCTAAATGCAGCTTCTCTGGCAGCATCAGTAAATACAAGGGTGAGGGTGAGGGGGGTTGTACTCAGAGCACCGCTGAGACAGGGGAATGACGCTTCCTAGCTTGCGAGGCCACAGAGGTCCCCACCCCATCTCCAGTCTAACGCAGGCTGGAGGATCGGAGTGTGGGGGCTGGGGAAGGAGCCAACGCGGGTCACAAAGCTGCTGTCCCCTCCAGCACCAACTGGCCTGCTTGCTGGGAAGAGGCCCAGGAGCGAATAGGCCACAGAGCTCCTCTGCCCCTGAGAGAGGGGGTCCCACCGGTGGGGCAGCGAGGGGGGAAGAGGGGCCATGCAGGACACCCACAGTGCAGCACTGACAGGCCAAGCAGGGGGAGCAGGGCCAGGCGAGTTGCCAGAGGGATGCCCATATCCAAAGGGGGCCCTCGGCCACTCACCGGCTCTGGTGAAGTAGTGGCACTCCGGCGAGGAAGGGTCCCGGCAGTGCAGATAGCCCCGCCCAGCGACCAGCACCCGCAGCGCGAAGGAGGCCAGGTACAAGCTGAGGATGACGATGTCCAGGCAGTTCCAGCCGTCCAGGAGGTAGCTGCGCAGCCCCTCGATCCACACCTCCTTGCACTCGTACCAGAAGAAGCCTGGGGAGGAGGGGACAGAGCGTGAGCGGCAAGTCCCCTCGGGCTGCCACCTCCCGAGGATGGCACAGAGGGATTCGGGAAGCGGGGGGGGAGGAGGAGGGGGCTGGGTAGGATTTGGGAGGTGGGAGGGGGCTGGGCATAGAGGGATTTGGGAAAGGGCTGGGCAGAGGGATTTAGGGGGCAGAGGGGGCTGGGCACAGAGGGTGGGATTCCCTGGAGAACAGACGGCTGGCACAGGGCCCGAGCCCCCTGCTGAGGCCAATGGCAGCCATCGGCGGCTACTCCTTACACCCTGCCCTTCTGGTGTCCCTTGCCTACGCCCCTCCCTGCCAGGTGCAGCCGGCGGCTCCTCCCGCCACCTACCCGCCACCCAGACCATGTGCAGGGAGCTCTCCCACACGCTCTGGTTGCGGCCCAGGAAGACCTCGGGCCTTTGCTGCAGGACCATGGACTCCGCCAGCAGGAAGACGAGGAACCAGAGGTAGGAGGCCGAGTGGAGCAGGAATTTGATCACTGGGATCTTCAGCATTTTGCCAGCCTGCCAAGGAATGCAGAGGCAGCGTCGCACCCCACAGCTGCAAGAGCCCCACAACTGCCATCCCCCCCAGCCCCACACTCCTCCTGGCCCCATAGGGACCCACCGAACTCCACGGGGCTCGGTATAGACACAGTGACTGCCTCCCCTTGAGTGGCCAGCAGGGATCCCACACCACCCCGCAGAGCTAAGGGAGGGACTCTACTAGCAGACAGCAATAGTAGGCTGTTACCCTACTGCAAAGCCACTGCTAGCGGAGGACACAACACACTTAGCCAGTGAATTAAGCAACGATCTCCCCTAGCAGACTGGGGCCCAACACGCCACCTAGAGTCGAGGGGGGAATATTGAAGGAGCATGAATGTGGGAGGAGCCCAGATCTGGCGCAGATCAAATTCACGGGATACGGGTGGCTAATTCACACCCAGATTGCTGGCTCAGGGCTAGCGTGAGAAATCAGAATTGCAATCACGTGTCCACAGGCCGACCCAGATGAGACCCAGCTCCCTCTGGCCCAGCCTCCGGTCTCAGAGGGCCCCGCGCCACCTGCACCAGAAGGCGATGTAAGAACCCCGCAGTAGCCGGCAGGGGAGAATCTGCCAGGGTTTGGCCGGAGCCCACTCACCCGCGACTTGGGGGCCATCCAGTAGAGCAGGGACAGGAGGGGCATGGTCAGGAAGATGGAACAAGAGACAAAGAATTTCCAGAGGGTGTTGCTGCCGCGCCAGCCCGACAGGCTCCCGCACCAGATGGAGGACAGCACTTGCTGGCAGATGGGATGGGCAACAAACTGATCCGGGAGGGGGTCAGTGGGAAATAAAAGAGAGGAGGGGTCAGTGGGGTGGGAAATAAAATACTTACCCCCCCTGTAGCTTTCTGCTGCCCCAGACCTTTCAGCCCAACAGCCCCCGAGGTCGTACACAGGCACTCTTGGTTGTAAGGAGCCCTCCCCTGCCAGTAGCATGCAGCCACCTCTGGGGTTTAGCCACTGCCTGGCTGCTCTACACAGAGGCTCTGGGCTCGGGGCGAAGGATGAACCAAGTGATATTCTGGTGGGATTGAGAGAGGAATGGTGCACCGGGAACCGGACACGGGGGTTCACCCCAGGGATCTCATTTGAGAGATGGTGCCCACAACGCCCCCTAGCCCTATGACGGGGTATTGGCTCAGAGCGGAGCACCGCCTAGGGATGCCAGAGCCCCCCGGCTCCCTGCCTGGACTCACCCTCTTCTGGTTGTAGTTGACGGCCAGCCGGAGCCGGGCGAGGTTGGGGATGCCCTCCTCAAAGGCCTGGCTGTCCAGCTCCTCCTCCTCGCCCTCCCCCAGGTCGTTCAGCACAGCCATCACCTCGCTCTGGTTCCGGCACATCCCCAGCAGCTCCACCGCAAACTCCTGGCTCAGCAGCTCCAGGCTGAGGTACTCGGGCTGCAGGGGTGGGGACAGGCAGGGGAAAAGGGGAGAAAACCTGAGCTCTGGTCCCATCAACCTTTCATGGCTGCAAGGGCTTTCCTAGCACTCTGTCTCTGGTCTGTCACAGCCTTGCCTCCTTCATTCCTGAAGGTCCCTTCCAGCCCTGCATGTCTGTGCGTGTATGACCTGAGTCAAGAGGCACCATTTCTAGGGGGCCCTACCCATAACTGCACAAGGGAGTCCTCAGAATGTGAAGGTCACACATTTAAATATGCTGAAATAACTGGTGGAACTCCCTGCTGCATGCTGGTAGACGGCAAATAGACAGGTTCAATAAGAGTTTCGGCTCCTGGAGTGAAATTCGCTCCAGTGCCATGTGGGACACTATGCCTAAGGATGTTAAGCAGACTAATCATGTAGTTGATACAATTCGTATTGAAAATGCAGAGGTGCCGGGTCCCGGACCATTGTGGCTCTGTTTCTCCTTCCCTCCCACTCTGCACCACAGAGACGGTACTTGGGGGAATGAGCTTCCTCTAATAAAGAGGCAGCAAGCAGGGGGAGCAAGTAGTCGAGCAGTGACTCAGCTACCAGATAGGCCTAGGCTTATTGTAGTTGACTACTCTAGTCGTCGCTTACATCCCTAACTATGCCCCCATATTCTTACGGAAACAGGCATACTTTGAATATGCTTTATGCAAAACAGGGCTAACAACCTATCATGCAAGAGCTTGCCATCTCCTGAGTGTGCATGTTCTATTCGTGTGCATGTACCTTTCTTGTATGTGAAGTTAGAAATATGAGGTTTGACCCTGTTTATTAATCTAGATTTTATAGTGAAAGCCATCAGTGGGCAAGATACCTCTCGCAGGCCAAATTCGGCCCACCAAGCCACCAGATCTGGCCCATGGACACCCTGCCAAGACCCTCAGGCATGCAGCAGCTGCTGTTTTAAGCACAAGGCTGCTCTGTGTGGCTCTCTGCGCTGGAGGGAAGGGGAAGCTTCAAGTGATCTCCCCACCCCCAGGCCAATCCTTAGCTCCAGGAGGGCTGGCCAGCACCTGGGAACTAAAGGGTTAACTATGTCCCCTGTCCCTAGCCAGGTATCTGATCAGCCAATAACAATGCAAGAAGGGATTTCAAACTGGGACAAAGGCATTTTTAACTTTCCCTCCTTTGTCTGAGTCAGAAGGGGATTTTCTTCCAGGTAACAGGGAGATGGGAGGCTGTCTCTCTCTCTCTCCAAGAAAAGTATTTTCACAATATGTGAGTAGAGAAAAGTTAGGTAACCTGTCAATCATAGAATCATAGAATAATAGGACTGGAAGGGACCTCGAGAGGTCATCGAGTCCAGCCCCCCGCCCTCAAGGCAGGATCAAGCTCCGTCTACACCATCCCTGACAGATGTCTATCTAACCTGTTCTTAAATATCTCCAGAGAGGGAGATTCCACCACCTCCCTTGGCAATTTATTCCAATATTTGACCACCCTGACAGTTAGGAATTTTTTCCTAATGTCCAATCTAAACCTCCCCTGCTGCACTTTAAGCCCATTACTCCTTGTCCTGTCCTCAGAAACCAAGAGGAACAAATTTTCTCCTTCCTCCTTCTGACACCCTTTTAGATATTTGAAAACCGCTATCATGTCCCCCCTTAATCTTCTTTTTTCCAAACTAAACAAGCCCAGTTCATGAAGCCTGGCTTCATAGGTCATGTTCTCTAGACCTTTAATCATTCTTGTCGCTCTTCTCTGTACCCTTTCCAATTTCTCCACATCTTTCTTGAAATGTGGCGCCCAGAACTGGACACAGTACTCCAGCTGAGGCCTAACTAGCGCAGAGTAGAGTGGCAGTGCAGAGTAGAGTCAAGCTTTATTATTTCCTGGTTTGGGAATAAGGAAATGTCTGTGCTGTTAAAAGTGGGTTTTTTCTTTCTTTTGTAACTAAGTCCTGAGCCCTAGGGATTCCCCTGAGTATCTAGATTAATTGGTGACTCTTTTCATCTAGCCACGTTATTATGCTTGCAACTATGGTATTGTTTTGATAATACACGTTTGTTTTCTTTTTCTAATTAACCTGGTATTGGTTCATTTCCGTGTCCGGGAAAATCTGTCTGTGGGTGTCTGCATGCCTCTGACTAGGGGGCAACTACCACAGACTTCAGCTTGTATTTTCTCTTTTCTTTTTCAAGCTCTTTGGGGGAAAGAGCTTGAGGTACCCCTGAGGTTTTTAGGGAGGAGGTTTCCCAGGCTGACCTCTTCCCTGGTTTCTTTGGAATACTTGGGTGGTGGTTTTATTCTCCAAAGTCCGGGTATTAGGATTTTGGGGAGAAGTTTTTGTACCAAAGCCTGTAGAGATCAGCTTTTGGGGTGCTTTTGCAGGACCCCACTTCAGCATTGATCGTGCCAGAATGGGAAACAGCCTTGTCACCCTGGGGGAGGCAGAACCTGGCACCGCAGCTGCCTGTGGAAGAAGGGTGCCCAGAGTGTGGAGCGGAGACCCCAGGCGCAGCATGGAGACCGCGGAGAGCCTGACCTTGAACTCGGGCTCCTTGCAGGAGAGGCGCTGCAGCTCTCGGCTCAGCTTGAAGGCGGTCAGCATGGCGTCCTCGCTGGCGATGGAGAAGTAGGCCCGGCTGGCAATGCCCTTGTAGGTGTTGATGCGGGAGAGGGAGAACTTGAGCAGGTCGTACCTGCGGCCGTTGCTGCACTCCGGGCAGGTGCAGGAGACCTTGTGGGGCCGGGGGATGGTGTGGCCTTTCCGTATCAGCATGTCCACGATCTCGTAGAGGTCCTTCTCGCAGGCCAGGGTGAGCGGCGTCACGCCGGGGGCGAAGCGGGAGTGGTCGATGGAGTGGTCGAAGAAGGCCAGGGAGAAGGACTTGATGTGGCCCAGCCGCTCCAGCAGCATCTTCACCCCCTGGGGCCGGTTGGCGTCCACGGCGACCAGCAGGGCCTCGTGGATCTGGCGGAAGTCGAACCTGACGTGGCGCAGCAGGGCCCTGGTGACCTCCCCGCCGCCCGTGCGGATGGCCAGGTTGAGGGCTTCCCGCCACGCGCGGTCCTCGCCCTCGGCCTGCTGCCGCGGGATCCCGTCGCTCGCCTCCAGCAGATGCTGCACCCACGGCAGGTCCCCCTCCTGGATGGCGTCGAGGAGCTCGGCAGGGAATTTCAGCTTCTTGTTGACTATCTCCCTCCAGCTGGGCTGCTGTGAGGGGCAGAGAGTCAGCACAGCCCTGTGGAGGGCCCCAAGCCGGAGCCAGGGCTTCGGAGCTGGCAGGCCTGTGGCACCACAGCAGCCGCTCCGTGGAAAGCAGCCCACAGGCCACTGGTGCCCTGGTTGGAGCAGCGGCTCTGACAGCCTGAAGCTGGCAGGCTCCTTTCCAATAAGCAAAATTAATACTCTCATCCGTTTGGCACGGGCTAGCCCCAGACGGCCAATTTCACATGCCCTTTGCCATATTCCAGTGGCTCCGAAATGAGATTTGTAGGGCTCTCTGGGAATTTTCAGTTGGAACAAACACCAAAATCCTGTGGGAACTGAAATCGCTGGAGCAGACTTCCAGCTCCTGCTCCACAAATCAGCCTCCCCGCTATTCCCCTCACCACCACCCGGCATGCACAACCGCCCGCCGCTCTCCTCCTCCGTCGCCGCCTTGCTCCTCACCTGCTTTTGGGGGCCCTGTGCTTTGATACAATTGGGACTATCCCAATGCTTAGCCCTTTGCCCCCTGCCCGACTCACTTCCGATTGGGACACGACCGCCCACCTGCCTGCCATTCTCCTCCTCGCCGCCGCCTTGCTCCTCACCTGAATTGCAGGGCAAGTCGTGTCCCAATCGTATGCAAGTCGGGACAGGGGACAAAGAGCTACACATTGGGATAGTCCCAATTGTATCAAAGCACAGGGCCCCCAAAAGCACTGGGGCCCAGGACGGTCACCCCAATTTGCCGTACCTAAGCACAGCTCTGACTAGAGCACGTCTCCTCCCAGAGAGGCGCCCCGCATGGAGGGGTCTGAGCCCCCCCGTTTAGCCACCAGAACAGATCTCGCCTAGGAGTTAGCAGCAGGGCGGTACCGCTGGAGCACTCACACCGTGATCTGACCGGGTCGCATCTGGCGCTCAGTTCTGCTGGAGCAAAGCCAGACTCTCTCCACTGAGGCCTGCGAATCCCTCGAGGGACGCTCCTCAGAGCCCCTCCCTGCGGCTGTCACTCGGCTGGAGCTACCCAACCATCAGACTGGCTCACACATAAGGTCTGGAGCTTCTGGCATGCAGTGGTACTGTCCCATACAGGGAGTGGGCGGGGAGGAGCGGGGGAGGGGCTGGGCTGGCTTGAATTTTCCCTTCTGTCCCCCACACTGCCAGCCCTTGCTACCAGGTAGTGGTTATTTTTACTACCAAGAGGCCCCCAGTGAGATCCTGGCCCTGCTGTGCTAGGCACTGTCCATACCCACAGCAAGAGCATTGAAGGGTTAACAGCTGAAAGGGACAAACCAGAGTGAGGGTATGTCTACACTACCACCCTAGTTCGAACTAGGGTGGTAGTGTAGACATACCCTCACTCTGGTTTGTCCCTTTCAGCTGTTAACCCTTCAATGCTCTTGCTGTGGGTATGGACAGTGCCTAGCACAGCAGGGCCAGGATCTCACTGGGGGCCTCTTGGTAGTAAAAATAACCACTACCTGGTAGCAAGGGCTGGCAGTGTGGGGGACAGAAGGGAAAATTCAAGCCAGCCCAGCCCCTCCCCCGCTCCTCCCCGCCCACTCCCTGTATGGGACAGTACCACTGCATGCCAGAAGCTCCAGACCTTATGTGTGAGCCAGTCTGATGGTTGGGTAGCTCCAGCCGAGTGACAGCCGCAGGGAGGGGCTCTGAGGAGCGTCCCTCGAGGGATTCGCAGGCCTCAGTGGAGAGAGTCTGGCTTTGCTCCAGCAGAACTGAGCGCCAGATGCGACCCGGTCAGATCACGGTGTGAGTGCTCCAGCGGTACCGGTAGTGTAGACATACCCTGAGGGAGCTGAAGTTTTAGTCTTCCCCTTTGCAGACGGGGAGCTGAGAAATGAAGGGACACGACCAAGGTTCTTCCAGAGAATCGGTGGCAGAGGCAAACCCATGTCCAATAAGGCCCTGAAGTCAGGGAACTGAAATGCCTCCAAGGAGCAAAGCTGCCCCAGGCTGCTCCCTTGCCCACTGTACCATTAGCCCTTTTCAGAACCAGCATCGCCCCCCTGGCTGCTCGCTGCCTCTCTCCCCACTCAGCCCTGCGAGGAAGCACAGGCATGGTGGATGGATGCTGGCTGGAACCCCCTCTCCCTTGATCTCCCCTTTGCACGCTGCGAGGCTGCAGCTCCCTGCTTAACATAACACAGGAGCCTTGGCAGAACCGGCACTGACTTACACCCTGCAGCTAATTAACTCCCCAGGTTTAATTAAGTGCGTGTGATTGAATTCACAGCTTGGCTATTCCCCAGCCCCTCCCCTGCATCAGAGCCAAATGGGGCTGGAAACCAGCCGGGGATGCTCTTTAAAGAACAAAAAAACAAGTGGGGGGAGGGGTCTGAGTGAGGGGCTCCGGAAAAGCTGCTCAGAAAGGCCCTGCCAGAGACAGCAACCGCTCCCCCCACTCCCTCTTTTAAATGTCCAAGAGCGCGTCCATCTGTGAGCCCCAAGGGAAGTGACTGTGCAGGGCAGGGGAACCCAGGCGGCAACAGGGAGGAGAGGTGGTCCTGGCTGCCCAGTCAGCTCTGCTGCCCACATCTCCAGCCCCACAGATGCCTCAGTGCTTCCCCGAGACCTTTCCGACCCTTCTGCGTGCCTCTGCCCCATTTCTACAGCAGTAACCCAGCAGCTATTACCAGGCCTCGCCCCTGGTTCTCCTGCTCTGGCTTGTAGGTCCCTGGCCGCTCCATGGGGCCCGTTGCGCGCTAGAGCTGGCTGTGGGGAGAGCAGAGGGACCAGGAGAGGGCCTCCCACGAAGCGCTCGGATGGTCCCGGTAGCTGAGACGTGCCTTAGTGAGCGATCGCTGCCTGGCACCCAAGTGGGGCTGAGCCCTGGGCCGAGGTCCCTGAGGAGCAGCCCCCGTCTGAAGCGGCCCCAATGTGGCCGACATCGCTCCTTGAACCTTCCTACTGGGCAGCCGAGTTCACTTCTCCTCAGAGAAGGACACTGCCCTCCCTGCCCGCCCGGCCTGTGTGGCCCTAACGCCACAGGCAGGACAGGTCCCACGCCACAGGCAGGGCTGTTCCTGAGAGGGCTGGGTGCGCTACTCACCATGATGCTCTCCATGGCTGGCGGACCACTCAGCCAGGCAGGGCCGTGCCTTGCCTCGGAGCTGCCAGCTGGAGAGGGCTGGGGGGCCAATGCCAGCCCGTCTCCCTCCACCTGCGCAGCCACGGGTGGCTTAGTCCCACCCTCCAGCGCACCGGGCCCTGCCGAGGAGGGGGGGGGAGATGACCAGGTAAGGGCAGCAGGATGCACCGGGCCCTTCCCCAAGGACCAGGGCCGCTCCAGACATGCAGAGGGCAAAATTAACGAGGGCAGCAGCACTCAGCAACCAGCCCTCCCACACTGCTGCGGGGACACAACAGGTGTTTTTCTCTGCTTGTTTTGCTTTCCTGTCAGCATCTCTCTCGCCAGCCTTCCCGGCAGCCTGGCTGGGAGCCAACAGGCCTCTCTGGTGAGCTGCCAGAGGATCAGCGGGGCTACATCCCCCCAGCCTTGCCCCACGACCATTCCCAGAGCAGAGTTGTTTAGAGAAACCGCCACCGTTTTGCCTCACCGAAGTACAGGCCATCAACAGCCACTTACCTTTAGCAACCAAACGTGGCCACTCGTGAAACAAAACATCCACTTAGAACCGACTTGCCACATGCCCCGGTTCCTTTGCGGCAGTTACCTTCCCCTCCTCTCATTCTTTAACTAAGCCCTGGATCAGCTGCTCCATTGTCTTCCCCAGGATCTGACAGGCCTATAACCACCCAGGTCCTTTTCACGCTTATAATATTGGCCCCCTATTCGCTTTCTTGCAGGCCCCTGGCACTTCCTCAGGGCTCCAACTTCCTGAAAACCAGCAGTAGCAGCCCAGTGACTCCTCCCTGACTGAAGGATTTAGTGGCCCCTCGCGGCTACACCCCCTCCGCCCTGATCTCTTTGCAGTTTGGGTGCTGGACACCTGCCCTTTTGCTTCCCCCCCCCCCCCCGGTTTTACAAAATTGGTTGTGGTCAGATCAGTGCCAAGGAACGTGGGAGATGCTAAGCAGCCCCTCAGCAGTCCAGAGGGGGCTCGGGCAGCTTGGTTTAGCTTCTAGGATCTTAGAGAGAACCTGGGGCTGGCCCACAGCTGACAGAAAAGTGTCTCTGTGCGGACGCTGACTACACTGTCACCAGCTGCCCGATGCCCTGGCAGGATCCTGTAGCTCTCAGAGCTCTGCCTCTCTCTGAGAACACCCACGTTCTGAAACTAGCCATGGGTTGCCAGGTGTCTGGAATTGGTGGGCAGATTTAAAGGTACAGTGACTTTTTTTTTTGCCCTTTTTTTTTCCGCTCAACAACTTTGGCCCCTTTTATTTTGCTCAACCAATTTTTCTTCCCCGCCATGTTTGGTATTTTTTGTGAAAGTATCTGGCAACCTTACAGCTGGGAGGCCAGCTGGCTCACAGGACAGTGCCCTGCTAATGACCCGCACTAATCCATCCTGCCTAAACCACATCAGCTTCCTGGGCTGAACGTCTCTCAGCCCTGCTGGTGCCAACAAGCCACGTCAGCTCCCCAGAGACTCAGGAGGCAGCTGTGTGTGTGTTTGCCTGTCGGTTACCTACCGCCCTCCTGCAAGTGAGAAGCGGGCAGAACTGGGAACCCTTCCAGATATACCCCTCACCAAGAGGGACAGAGATCTAAATACAGGGAGCCATTATTACATGTACTGAATTAGCACTTCTCTTACAGGCCTCTGAGATGAGGTACCCACTGTGCTAGGCACTGCACATGTTAATAGGGACTTCCTACCCTGAAGGCACCCCCAATTCATGAGTGGGAATCGAGGCACAGGAAGATGACATGAGAGGGCAGCACTGGGACCAGAATCCATCAGCCCCTGGCCAGCACCTTAACCACAAGGCTGTACTCCCTCTAATTCATTTACACATTTGACACTATCAGCCTGGCCTTGAATAAGGACATTAACTGGTTAACACACTACACAGCCAATTTCCCCTGCCTTTGACATTCACAATTTCACATCAAAAGCTATGAATGGGCATACCCAGCCCACTTAATTATCTTCATTAGCTCAGGTCCTACAATTGACAGGTAACTGCTTTGGCTGTTATATATCTCTTGGATTCTGTTATTTCCTCTCCAACTCATTGGATGAAGTGGGTTTTGCCCGTGAAAGGTCATGAGCCTATATATTTTTGTTAGTCTCTACAGTGCCACAGGGCAACTAGTTTTTAAAGTTACAGACTAACCCAATGACCCCTCTGAGACTCACTCTAAACAGTGTCTATAAAACACTCGGCGCTACCCCGCTGGCCAAGAGGGCGGAACAGTCTGCGTTTCCTTCAGCTGAAATGACCAACTCACCCCTGAGCAAAACTCACCATCCTGAAATCAAAACAGCAACTTCCCCCGCTGAATCATCAGAGGGACGCAGGCGACTAGCAACGTTTATTACGTGCGCAGAGAAGAGATGAAGAGATACAACATGAGCTGCTGGCACCTACCCCTTTTGGGTTTATTACACCCTGAGGAGGATTAGAGGAGACTTTGCCATTCGTATGAAAAGGGACAAGTCCTTCCAGTCCTGCCTGCCAAGGAGAGTTGGAGCCAAGTCCGGCTCTACGAAAACGCAGGTACGCTTCCCCGTCACCCTGCAGGCTGCGAGGGGCAGACGGAGGCACCGGTGGAGACGCGAGTGCCTGAGGACACAAGTGCAGCGAGTTTGCTGTTCTCTCTCCGCTCGGAAGCCAGCCCATTTTGGATCTGCTAAGCCTTGCCCCACAGCAGGCTTTGCACACACCACCCTACCAAGCGCCAGCTCCGGCCCCACCGGGCCCTACAGGCACTGGTGCCTTCCCCTGGCAGAGGGGTTCCCTTGAGGGGAGGGAGCCTGGAACAGAACAAGGTTCAATCGCAGTTCACCCCAGTGGGTGAACAGCCGGGCGGCTGCTCCTTCTCATCCCCGTCCCAAGCTCACAACAATGGGCAGGCGCCACTCAACGGCCGGACCCCACAACGGGCAGGCGCCACTCAGCGACTGGATCCAGGGCTGGAAGAGATGCCAAGGCCCAGGCAGACCCGGGCAAGGCCTAAGCTGCACAGCACCCCCTGCAGTAGGCCTGGCTATCGCAGGACGTCTGGCTCCTGTCCTGGAGAAGCGCAACGCACAGGGCAAAGCCCGTCCCAGGTGTGAGCCCAGTGAAGTCCATGGAGATCACCAGGGCTGCCCAGGTTCACCCCGACGGCTATAATCAGCCAGGTCCTTCAGTCCAACGGAGGCTCCATCCCGGCAGACACAGGGCTGATGGTGGGGCGTGGGTTTGCATTGTGCCTCTCCAGCCCAACCTGGCCCCGCTCAGCCTATTCCACCCACAGCCAGGAGCTGGGGGTCTCCAGGGCTCCTGCCCATGGAGATCACCAGGGCTGCCCAGGTTCACCCCGACGGCTATAATCAGCCAGGTCCTTCAGTCCAACGGAGGCTCCATCCCGGCAGACACAGGGCTGATGGTGGGGCGTGGGTTTGCATTGTGCCTCTCCAGCCCAACCTGGCCCCGCTCAGCCTATTCCACCCACAGCCAGGAGCTGGGGGTCTCCAGGGCTCCTGCCCCTCCCCACAG